GAGGCAACACAATCCAGTGGACTGAGCCCCGGTCTGGTGGCCAGGACCTCCTTCATTCTAATCTCTGCCAGATTCAGAATGTAGTCATGGGCAAGATAAGTAACTTCCTTGCTTCTGTCCTCCCATCTGTAGAATGGGGATAGTTACTTAGCAACCTATTTGAGAGAGGTGCCTTGAAAATTAATTAGTTACTCAGAGTTTCTCCAGTCATTATGTAAAGCACTATGCAAGTGCTAAGAATTTAGGCCATCACCATTAATAATAATTAATTTAATTAGCTTGTAGATAGCGCTTTTCATCTTTAAATCTCAAAGCTCTTTACAAAGGAGGTCAGTATCACTATCTCTATTTTACAAATGGGGAAATTGAAGCACTGGGAGGGAAGTGACTTGTCCATGGTCACTCAGCAGGCCAGTTGATTGTGTGTGTCCCCACTAAGCACATTAAGTAGGCGGAGTGCATCCACAGTACCGTGGCTAGCGTCCACTTCCGAAGCATTGCACTGTAGGTAGCTATCCCACAGTTCCCGCAGTCTCTGCTGCCCATTGGAATTCTGGGTTGAGCTCGCAATGCCTGATGAGGCAAAAACATTGTCGCGGGTGGTTTTGGGTACATGTTGTCAGTCGCCCCTCCCTCCGTGAAAGCAATGGTAGACAATCATTTTGCTCCTTTTTTCCGTGCGGGCGCCATATTGCTTTCAGCAGACAGTGCAGTAGGACTGCTAACCGCCGTCATCAAACGACCGCTTCCGCTGCCACTCTGCTCTCCTGCTCTGGCTGCAGATGGTGCAATAGGTCGGAAAAACTGGCATTCCAACCACCGCTTCCGCTGCCACTCTGCTCGCCTGTCTCAATCGATAGCGAATTTCTCCATGTTGGCTGTCATGGACTCCCGCTTTTGCTGCAACTCTGCTCTCCTGCTCTCATGAATCCACCTCACAGGTCCTCTCGTTGTTCTCTATAAATATCTAGTCCGTCATCCATCGCTTCCGCAGCAACTCTGCTCTTCTGCAGATGCCATACCACGGCAAGCATGGAGCCCACTCAGATAACCGCGGCAGTTATCACCGTTGTAAACACCTCACGCATTATCCTGCAGTATATGCAGAACCAGAACCTGCAAAAGCAGGCGAGGAGGCGACGGCAGCGCAGTGATGAGGACATGGACACAGACTTCTCTCAAAGCACGGGCCCTGGCAATGTGGACATCATGGTGGTAATGGGGCAGGTTCATGCATTGGAATGCTGATTCTGGTCCCGGGAAACAAGCACAGACTGGTGGGACCGCATAGTGTTGCAGATCTGGGATGAATCCCAGTGGCTGCAAAACTTTCGTATGTGTAAGGGCACTTCCATGGAACTTTGTGACTTGCTTTCCCCTGCCCTGAAGTGCAAGAATGCCAGGATGAGAGCAGCCCTCAGAGTTCACAAGCGAGTGGCGATAGCCCTCTGGAAGCTTGCAACGCCAGACAGCTACCAGTCAGTTGGGAATCAATTTGGAGTGGGCAAATCTACTGTGGGGGCTGCTGTGATCCAAGTAGCCAACGCAATCACTGAGCTGGTGCTATCAAGGGTAGTGACTCTGGGAAATGCACAGGCCATAGTGGATGGCTTTGCTGCAATGGGATTCCCTAACTGTGGTGGGGTAATAGACGGAACACAAATCCCTATCTTGGGACCTGAGCACCAAGGCAGCCAGTACATAAACCGCAAGGGGTACTTTTCTATAGTGCTGCAAGCACTGGTGGATCACAAGAGACATTTCACCAACGTCAACGTGGGATAGCTGGGAAAGGTACATGACGCTCGCATCTTCAGGAACTCTGGTCTGTCTGAATGGCTGCAGCAAGGGACTTACTTTCCAGACCAGAAAATAACCATTGGGGATGTTGAAATGCCTATAGTTATCCTTGGGGACCCAGCCTACCCCTTAATGCCATGGCTCATGAAGCCATACACAGGCACCCTGGACAGTAGTCAGGAGCTGTTCAGCTATAGGCTGAACAAGTGCAGAATGGTGGTAGAATGTGCCTTTGGACGTTTAAAAGTGCGCTGGCGCAGTTTACTGACTCGGTTAGATCTCAGCGAAACCAATATTCCCATCATTATTACTGCTTGCTGTGTGCTCCACAATATCTGTGAGAGTAAGGGGGAGACGTTTATGGCGGGGTATGAGGTTGAGGCAAATCGCCTGGCTGCTGATTACGCGCAGCTAGACACCAGGGCGGTTAGAAGAGCACAGCAGGGCGCGCTGTACATCAGAGAATCTTTGAAAACCAGTTTCATGACTGGCCAGGCTACAGTGTGAAAGTTCTGTTTTTCTCCTTGATGAAAACCCGCCCCCTTGGTTCACTCTACTTCCCTGTAAAACAACCGTCCTCCCCGCCCCCCTTCGATGAAACTTGGGGAGGAGGGCGGTCGGTTACACAGGGGCTGAAGCGGTGGTCTGTGCTCCTGCTGCCTTCTGCAGCTCAACCATACGCTGGAGCATATCAGTTTGATCCTCCAGTAGCCTCAGCATTGCCTCCTGCCTCCTCTCATCACGCTGCCGCCACCTCTCCTCTTGCTCCAGCCATCTATCCTCTCATGCGTCCCTCCTGTCAGGGCCGGCTCCAGGCACCAGCCCACCAAGCTTGTGCTTGGGGCGGCACCTGGAGGGGGGCGGCACGGCGCTCCGGCCGCCGGGGAGAGCGGGGCCACAGCCGGGCTCGCCGTCCTTCCCCCGGCGCTCTGGCCGCCCTCCCCCCCCCCGCGCCTTCCCCCCGGCCGCCGGGGGGAGAGCGGCGAGCCTCTGCTGGGGCTCGCTGCCCTCTCACCGCCCTGCCCCCTGCGCTCTGGCCGCCGGGGGGAGAGCCGAGCCCCAGTTGGGCTCGCTGCCCTGCCCCCGGCGCTCTGGCCGCCGGGGGGAGAGCCGAGCTCCCGCCGGGGCTCGCCTCCCTCCTCCCAGGGCTCCCGCCGCCCTCCCCCCCGGCGCCCCCCCCCCGGCCGCCGGGGGGAGAGCGGAGCCCCCACCGGGGCTCGCCGCCCTCCCCCCGGGGCTCCCCTCGGGCGGCAAAAAAGCCAGAGCCGGCCCTGCCTCCTGTCCTCACGTTCAATTTGTGCTTTCCTAGACTCTGACATGGTCTGCCTCCATGCATTTTGCTGGGCTTTTTCAGTGCGGGAGGACTGCATGAGCTCCGAGAACATTTCATCACGAGTGTGGTTTTTTTCGCCTTCTTATCTGCGCTACCTCTGGGACGGAGGTGATAGGGGGAGCGTTGAAACATTTGCAGCTGTGGTAGGAAAAAAAAAGGGAGAGTAGTATTTAAAAAGACACATTTTAGAGTACAAGGTTGCATTTTGCTTCTTATATTGAGGGCCTGCCGGTTTAGTGTGGGAGATCACACACGCAGGGCCGGGCAACAGAATTCGGCTTGCAGGCAGCCATGGTAAACCACAGTCTTTTGGCTTCTTTAAGTCTTCAGGGCAAATTAATCATTAAACACCCTTGCTTTTAAACCATGCATTATATTTACAAAGGTACACTCACCAGAGGTCCCTTCTCCGCATTCAAGGTCCAGGAGCCTGGGTTGGGAGGGTATTGGCTCCAGGGTGATAAACAGTTCCTGACTGTTGGGGAGAACGGTTTCTCCGCTTGCTTGCTGTGCGCTATCTTCAACCTCCTCCTCCTCATCATCATCCTTGTCCCCAAAATCCTCATCCCTGTTGCGTGAGACTCCCCCCTTGCAGGAGTCCAGGAACAGGGGTGGGGTAGTGTTGAGGGCACCCCCTAGAATTGCATGCAGCTCATCATAGAAGCGGCATATCTGGGGGTCTGACCTAGAGCGGCCGTTTGCCTCTTTGGTTGTTTGGTAGGCTTGCCTCAGCTCCTTAAGTTTCATGCGGCACTGCTGCGGGTCCCTGTTATAGCCTCTGTCCTTCATGCCTTTGGAGATTTTTTTCAAATATTCCGGCATTTTGTCTTTTGGAACGGAGTTCGGATAGCACGGATTCATCTCCCCATACAGCGATCAGATCCAGTACCTCCTGTTCGGTCCATGCAGGAACTCTTTTGCAATTCTGGGACTCCATGGTCACCTCTGCTGATGAGATCTGCACGGTCACCTGTGCTGATCAGCTTGCCACACTGACCAAACAGGAAATGAAATTCAAAAGTTCCTGAGGCTTTTCCTGTGTACCTGGCCAGTGCATCTGAGTTGAAAGTGCTGTCCAGAGCGGTCACAATGGAGCACTGTGGGATAGCTCCCGGAGGCCAATACCATCGAATTGCGTCCACACTACCCTAAATTCGACCCGGCGATGTCGATTTCAGCGCTAATCCCCTCGTCAGGGAGGAGTACAGAAATCGATTTTAAGCGCCCTTTAAGTTGACAAAAATGGCTTCGTCGTGTGGACGGGTGCAGGGTTAAATCGATCTAAGGCTGCTAAATTCGACCTAAACTCATAGTATAGACCAGGGCTTAGTCTTACTGTTGAGCAGTTACTTGCACGTGTAGTCCCATTAATTTTAATAGGACTCACAAGGAGTTCTCCATATGGCCATGTGTGATTTGTTAAAGTTGTTGTTTTTAAGTCTGAAAAGAAATTATAGTACAGTGTAAACTGGCCCAAATACTTTTTATAGCATAATAAGCCTTAATTAGTGGTATAATTCCTAAAGTTTAATTGAAGTATAAATAGAGTCAGACCCACCTAAAATCTAGCAATTACTCTGTGATAAAGTTCATGAAAATAATAGTTGGCCATTTCATCTAGCCCTTTTTTTCATCTTCTAAGCATTTTCCCGAAACTAATAAATATTTGTACCATCTCTATGAGGCAGGTAAGACAAAATGTCCGTAACATGCTAAGTGAAATTCTGGTTAAAGTAGGATTGTTTTTAACCTCTAGGATTTGTGCGTCATCCAGAAAATGGAATAAAATTTCACATAATTTCTTGATGTTACTTCTTATGGTTCTGAGTCCTTATGTTTTGTAAACTTGCTATTTGTTTCTAGATAAACCATGTTATTAGCCCAGATAAATCGAGACTCTCAGGGAATGACTGAGTTTTCTGGAGGAGGGATGGAGGCTCAGCATGTAACTCTCTGTTTGACAGAAGCAGTAGCTGTGCAAGGTGAGCATTCAGGTTAAAGTATCGCCACATCATCATGCAGTTTGCAGTTTTGCATTCAGAAAAAGCAGACTATGTACCCTGTTGAACTTCTAAACTTTGGAGTGATGTTGTGTATTGCAAATAGAGAAAATAATAAAAAGACCAAATTGTTTTTAGATAGTGTATTTGATTAATCTGAAATTTGATTTAATTCTGAAATGAAATTATTGCTTAATTAAAATAACAATTGCGTTTGCAGTATAAAATTTGGTTCCAATCAAATTAAAATATAGCATTACGATTTTAGATTATTTTGTACATCATTTACATATAAATTGAATTACATAGACTCAGATTTACAGAAAGAATGGTGTTTTAGGATTGAAATTAACATGTTGATGCTTTTTGGGTCATGCTTAATATTTATAAAAGTATAAAACTTTTTGCCTAATTACTATATTTTATTCAAAATGGTCTTGTATGTCTTAATGATTGATGGTGCACAGAACAATGATTAACATTACGTGCATGTAATACTGCCATTTCTCATGATTTTATTGTGAGTCTTCGATGTTAGGTGTTCTTCTTAAAGCCCCAGTTCTCAAGCCATTTTATTTCATGAGAATTTCAGCTTTTATTTAAAATAAAACATTTTAGTTCTCATGCTTATGGATAAAAACTTAACAATGTGACCTCAGTATATGCTAAAGGTTCAAAATCAAAAGGCTAATAAAAAGCTTTTAAGTCAATCTCATGATTTTTGGGGGCTTGACTCACGATTTTAGAGTGTATGAAGTTGGCAATACTTTAAATAAACTTCTTTCCCCAATAGATGGTGACAATTTAGAAAACATGGAAGGTGTAAGTTTGCAGGCAGTTACGCTTGCTGATGGCTCCACTGCTTACATACAGCACAATTCTAAAGGTATGTGCCTGACTAAAAATCAATAATTCTTCACTGTACATAAGAACGGCCATACTGGGTCAGACCAAAGGTCCATCTAGCCCAGTATCCTGTCTTCCGACAGTGGCTAATGCCAGGTGCTTCAGAGTATTCAGTGTATTCATTTGCTTGTTTGTATAGCACCCAGTGCAATGGGGATCTGATCCCAACTGGGGTCTTTGAGTGCTACTATAAATTAAATATTTACTTATACTAGTACCAGTACAAAAATCAATACTAATTACAGAACAGGGAAGTCAACTGAAAAAGAGATGGCCTTTCTTTAAAGTTCGATACTAAATAGTGACATCCTACATATTGAAAAGCCTGAAAAATTTAGTTTTCTAAACTTTGTGTGTTTGTAATAACAACACTTTGCCCTTTATTTAGTGTTTTTATCCCAGGATCTCAAAGCACTTTACATGTCCTAATACTGTGGTTAATACTTGTTAAACTGTATTTTTGTTCTATGAAATACTTTATTCCAGAGAGTTTCAGTGGTATGGTTTAAAATGTGATGTGTCATATAGGATACTTTACATAAATATAATGTATTCCAGATGGTAAATTAATGGATGGCCAGGTGATTCAACTAGAAGATGGCTCTGCTGCCTATGTTCAACATGTATCCATGCCAAAAAGTAGTAAGTGTATTACATCCATGAATATGTTTTAAAATATTGACTTCATTGATATAATATGGTATTGTTAGAATCTATAAAACATTGTTACAATAATTTCAGATGTCTAATACATATACTTTTATTTGAAGGTTAATATTTTTATTGAATGTGGATCAAATACATTCATGATTGGTCATGCCTAAAGTTATGCTTCTCCTCCTTCTCTTTCTCTCTCTCTCCCCCCCCCCCCCCCAACAGGGGACAGTCTGCGCCTGGAAGATGGACAGGCAGTTCAGCTGGAAGATGGAACTACTGCATTTATTCATCATGCTTCAAAAGGTAAACTGCATTTTGAAGTGTGATTCATTATATTATAAAACATTTTAATTGTAATTTATCTTCTAGAGTACCACTTCTGACAATATGTTTAGATTATGACCATATTTACAAGTATTCTTGTTGTAAATGACTTGGTGCATTTAAATAGAAACATCTAGATACAGCTGAGTTGAGAGTGGTTTGATTTCCCATTCAGAATGTAGTAGTGAATGGCTGGATCAGAAGATTGCTGGGCATTTCTGTGTGCTATCCTGGAATCTTAACAAAGAAACAGGCATGCTACTTCTAGAGAATTTAAACCCTTGTATTAATTTCAGGAAAGACTGGATCTGGAAATGAAAAAAGGAAACCAGTAAAAAGCAGACATCACTTGAATTAGATTCTTGCGCTCTAGGGATATTTTAAATACCCCGTGAGTGAGATTTGGTACTTTTTGGAAGACCTATCAGTGTAACACACAAAGAACACCATAGTTGACAGTCAAGTATGCACATTTATTTTATTTTAAATTAAGCATTAGATTGGCCTTTGAAAGAAGGGAAAAATAATGTCGTACCAGTACTGGTGTACTTCACCAAAGGACTTGGACAATGTACAATTTTCCCTCTCCTTCATTATCACATTAGAAGTCGTACCTTCCTGTATCAGTATACTTTCCAAATCTGACACAGGAGAGTGACTATTTCTAGACCTTATGGTTGTGAAGAAAAAAATATGGATTGAGTATAAACTGATGTTTTGCTGGCTTCTTGAGTGTGCAGATAGCTGTGCCTCTGCTGTTGCTTATGGCTTTCCCAAGATACACCAGAGTTAAAATTTACCAGAGTCTTGCTAGTTTCACTTTGCTACTAAAACCCCTGAATCTATGGAAGTTAGTTATCTGTGTGATTTACATATAGTACATAGTATACAGTACTTTTATACCTTTAAATTGCATTGTGGGTGTGACATTTTAATCCAGACCAGTGAGTGGTTGTAACACAACCTGCCCTGCAACTCTGTGTGCTTTCAGTGCTATGCTCCTGTGGCTCACAGCCCTGACACCAATAGCCAGCCTTACAAGCATCCAGGTCACACCCTGGCTTCCACCACCCAGTTATTTTTGCAGTGACCCAAACACCCTCCCAGTCCCAAATTTACCCAAAACCGTCCCCCTGTGTGATGATCTGCTGAGGCTCCCAGAATTGTGAGTCACTGTGTTACCCTTCTGAGCCTCAGCAAGTGAGAGTTTTGCTACTGCTAAGCTGTGTGACAATTCCCCTGCCACACCAGCTTGTCTGCTTTGCCAGCAAACTCCTCAGGACTCTGCCAGTCCAAACTTTGCCTTACGAGTAACAGTGAACCCCAACTCCTGAATTTCTCTGAGACATCTCCCTGCAGTGTCCAGCTCTCTTCTGGAACACTCACAGAAGTTAAGTTTGTTGCTGCTGCAAAGAGAGAATAAACAGCAGTTCATTAATTTCACTGCAGTTTGACAAACTCTCTTATTTCAGTCACAGCATAGAATTGATTTAAAGTAAAAGTCAAACAAACTTATTAAACAAAAAGTCATAGGTTTAAGTGATATCAAGTATAAGGAATAAAGACCGAAATGGTTACAAACAAACAAAAGTAAAAATACACTTCAGAGACTGGTACTTGCTAAAGTTAACTTTTTAATTCTTGCCTAAGCAGGATTGTCACCAATATTCAGTTCCCAGAGACCTCAACCCTCTTGGTTGAAGGACTCAAGATTGCTGTGATTTCAAGAGCTCAGGCCCCTTGAATCCGCCAAGTGATGGACCGCTATGGGGTTCTTTCCCCCTTTCCTTTTATAGTCCAGTAAACCTTTGAAATGTATTCTTTGGAAAGTAAGTCCTGCTGGGATTTAGACACCATGCTATCTTCCCAAATGTCATTGGCCCTGCTTCACAAAGCAGGAAGTCTCCATATCCCCCCACCCCCGCTGATTTGTAGGGAAATTGGGCTTCCATTGTTTTTATTCCACACTGCTTAATTTACATTAGAGACAAGTAGGTAGCTGCCTTCCCTCCTGTCTGGGAGAAAACCTGTTTCTCCCTGTGTGTGGTCACAGACTTTTTTAAAACATAAGAACAGTGAGTATCTTGTGACAGGTTAGGTCACAGAAACCCCCTTGGGACTGCCACATGATGTGCTGGGACTACCTCTGAGCCCGTTTTCTCTGGCAGCTTGGGACTTCAGTACCTTACCTTGTTTGAGCCAGACACGCTTGCCTGCTGCAAACACAGATCCAGGTTTGAACCACGTCCCCCAACAGCTGCAGGCTTAACTGAAAACAGCTTAAGAATTGCTCCTGTCTCCAACACTGAGATACCCAGCTCCTAATGGGGTCCAAACCCCAAATAAATCTGTTTTATGCTGTATAAAGCTTATACAGGGTAAACTCATAAATTCTTCGCCCTCTATAATACTGATAGATATGCACAGCTATTTGCCCCCCCCCCCAGGTATTAATACTTATTCTGGGTTAATTAATAAGTAAAAAGTGATTTTATTAAAAACAAAAAGTAGGATTTGAGTGGTTCCAAGTAATAACAGACAAAACAAAGTGAATTACCAAGCAAAATAAAATAAAACAGCAAGTCTAAGCCTAATACAGTAAAAAACTAAATGCAAGTAAATCTCACCCTCAGAGATGTTCCAATAAGCCTCTTTTACAGACTAGCCTCCGTCTAGTCTGGGTTCAGCAAACACTCACACCCCTGTAGTTACTGTCCTTTGTTCCAGTTTCTTTCAGATATCCTTTGGGGTTGAGCCAGCTGAAGACAAAATGGAGGGGTTTCCAGGGGCTTAAATAGACTTTCTCTTGTGGGTGGAAACCCCTTCTCCTCTCCTATGCAGAATCCAGTTGCAAGATGGAGTTTTGGAGTCACATGGGCAAGTCACATGTCCATGCATGACTCAGAACTTTACAGGCCGATGTCACCTTCCCAGGAAAGCTCAGATGTGGATTGGCGTCTCTCAAAGTTCATTGTTAGCTTAAGTGTTTCTTGATTGGGCACTTACTGAGACTAGTCTTTTCTCAAGAAGCTGACCAACTGCTTCACTGAGGCTACTTAGAATCAAACATGAATATTGGCTATGTACTTAACTTTGAATACAAAAATGATACATGCATGTAAATAGGATGAATATATCAGTAGATCATAACCTTTGCAGAGATATGTTACATGGCATATCTTGCATAAAACCTATTCCAGTTATGTCATATTTACACTCATATGCATATTTCTATAAAGCATTATAGGGTGCAACATCACATATCTATAATTCATTATATAGTGTTAATGCATACATTTTACATTGATATTAATCACTAGTGTGTCACAGGCTTTCATAAAACCTCTTACTCAATACATGTTTATAATACAGTAATATTGTATACAATCAGCTGATTCATCTGCTTATATTTGAGGTTCAGATCCCGCTGTCTTTATAGTTAAGAGCCTTTCTCCCACACTCGTTAGTTTAATGGCTTTTTTTACCTTTTATATAAATGTGCCTTCATTGTCTCTGCCTGGCGACCAGGCTGGTCAGACAAGCAAATACACGTTCCTTTGTCTAAGGTAGACAGTGCTTATGCATTGGTTGCCAAACGCCTTTTAAGAACATAATTCTAGCACATATTTATAACTCTTTACATCACACAAGAAGATTAATAATCAGTGAGTTATTAGTTTTCCAATGATGTATTACATGATGTTGTTTGGGTATATATCATCACAGCAATGTTAGGTGTAGTGAGTATGTCAGGCCTAACAAGAGTTGCTGACACAGAGTAGTGAATCCCCAATGGGACTGTGTGTCACAATGACTTTGAGGGGAGTGACAGCACAGGTATTTTCACCCTGGTTGGAAGACTTACTTCTCAGGCTAGTAGATGTTGGGTTAATGTTTCAAGCCCTACATCTTTATATGAGCTTAATATTGAAATTAGTGTTGTGGTTGCTTATTAGTTTCCCACGGATTATTCATTTCTGTAAACAATGCCATATGCAAAGTGTTTAAACCTTTATGTAATTTTAAAGTAATGGCAAAACATTGCTTTAGCCGTTGAAAGGATGCTTGGGTTCTTAGTGTACAGGAAGCAGGTATACAAATCCTAAAACTGACAGTATCAACAATTAATTGATCACTAGAGAGTAGAAATTTCAAAGTGTATGGTGTAATACTTTGTAAGTAAGAGCTAGGCTAATTGTAATGCTGTTTATAAGTGGACAGAAATAGAAGTGTTTTGGGGTAAGTAATCATTTACAACAAATTCAACCTGTGGTATTGATAGCAATTTTCTAAACTATTGTATTCATCAGTAGCATTTTAATGTGTATTGATAATTTCACATATGTGATTCCTTTATATTGGAGAAATGCAGATTCTGATATTCATTCCCTGTCTTAAGTGTTTTTAATATTATTTCTTAGACAGTTATGACCAGAGTGCATTACAGGCAGTCCAGCTGGAAGATGGAACCACTGCTTACATTCACCATACAGTTCAAATGCCACAGTCCGATACCATCTTAGCTATTCAAGCTGATGGCACAGTAGCAGGCCTTCATACAGGAGATGCTACAATTGATCCAGATACCATCAGTGCTTTGGAGCAGTATGCAGCCAAGGTACATTATAGTACATTTTATCTGTACATAATTTCTTTAATATATAGCATCACAATACATTTTTACACAGAGATCTTGTAAACTAAGATATATGATGAGAATTAATTAGAGGAATTATTCAGAAGCTTGGAAGATGGAAAAGATGAATTTCTAATAGACAAGGCCTCACAAATAAAAGATGTAACTTCAAACTGTGTCCTGTTGCAGGTAGGGATCATGAAGTTAAATACTGAAGGTGCAGAGTGAGATAGCAAATGTGTAAGTGGATAGAAAATCAGAGGGGTATAGTAGAAGCAAATATATGGAAAACCATAAGAGTGATTTTGAATAATTTAAAAGGTGGTTTGGAAACCAGTGAAGGTAATGGAGAGTAGGAACTCCCTGAAGTTTACAAAGCATTGGATGTAGGAGGACTATAGAAAAAGGAATTGCAGTGGTTGAGACAAGAGATAAGCTTGCTGTTGGAAGGGTTAGGGTAAGGATGATGTCTGCTAAAGTTCCAGAGATGATGATGAGGGATCTTTACAGACAAGTGATTTATGGAATGGAAGAGTCAGCATGAGATGCAGGACAATTCAGTTTTTTTGTCATTGAGGTTAAGTTAAGCAGAGTGATAACAGAGACATGGAAGAGAGCAAAGAAGTGTATTTGATACAAGAAATCAAGATGTAATCTGTATTGGTCAGAGTCCAGACAGGCGGTTTGATGGGAAATAAGACAATTGGAGAGTGAGCTGAAGTTGATACAGAGCTGGCCGTTGTCGTCATAAGAGTTTTGTCCAATGTTGAAAGTTCCAGTGAAATGTCCCTGACTATGTCATTATATGGGGAAATGGACCATCAATTTAACTATTTGTAGTAGAAAGGATGAGGGCAAGGCAAACAGCCTCCACCAGAAATGAAGGAAGAATAGATAGAAAGTAGGATTCCAGGCAAAAAGGGGAGTATTGGAGACACCGCCTTTTTACTCAAAGCACTCAAGAAGGATAGAGAATTAATGGTATTAAAAATGGTACTGATACCAAGCAGGATAAGAAGAATGAGGGATCCATTGTCAGTATCAGAAAGTAGACACTGACCCCATGAAGTAGTGCACACTGTAGAATGAACTGGTTGAAAGCCAGGCTGACTTGAGAGGTGATTGAACAGGTAAGAGAAGATTACTCCCCCTCCCTCCCCCCAGAACTTGCTGATAGAAGGGGAGGGTCATGACAGGACAATAATTTGAAAGTGGGGAGGAGTAAAATGACTCTCTTCAGAAGAAGTGCTGATGAGGTGAGTAGTGTTAGTGATCCTTTTTTGAGTGCAAAATGGAAAGATCCAGTGTATAGATTGATGATGGTGACATGATATGAGGCACTAAAGAAAGAGAGGTAACTAGACAGCTACTGAGTTTGGCAGGAGGTCCTTTGAAGAGATGCTTTTTAATCCTAAAAATGAAAAGCTGACATTTATGCACAGAAGCTGCAATGGAGCATAGCAGTTCAGAGATTCTGCTTAGATAAAACCTCACATTATGCTGAAAACTAAAACATGAGGGACAAACTAATTGTAGGAGCAGCAATTTTCTTATGTTTTCAGTCTTCCAGTGTCCCAGCTCCTGGATGATAACCATTGGTACTTGTACTGCACTGGCAAAGAGACAGTAGAGCAAGACAACCTTAATTCTGGCATTTCCTAACTTTGAGTACAACCTTAATGTTCTTTTAACATATTTTTGTGTGTGGGTGTGTAATATTAAATTATACTGGTAGTTTAACTGTTCTTAGAGTTTCTTGCTTAGAATGAAATCTATCCCAGACTGAGTTGTGTTTTAGCACAGCTAAGTAGGGGCAAAGATCTGCACTGGTCCCCAAGGGTTGTAGCATTCCGGTCGTGTACCGGCATGCTTCTGTGCCAGGAGCTTTGGGGATAATGTAGAAATGGTTATGGTGGATTCTCCCACATAGGAGGAATCCTTTGCTGTCTGGTTAAGCTGGCTTTACTGTCCATTTGTACCTTCGGAATAGCTCAAAGGGGCCATTGTAAGGGCATGATCTGGCTCCATAGTTTTAAATATGCCATCATGTCCCCTTTACTAATAGTTTCAGGAACTCCATGCACATAACAATGCTGGAAATTGTTTGCTAATAAGAAAGATTTAGAACCAAATTCATCCCTAATTTAACTTCATTGAAGTCATTGGTGACAGAACTAGCTCTTGAAGTCACTGTAGTTAAATCAAGGACAAATTTGGTCCTTGCTCTCCCTCCTTATTTTAATACAACCTTAAGAAGTTCAGCACTTTGGTAGTTATACAAGGCTTTTGTTATAACATGGGTGACTTCAGTGAGATTTTACATTTTTTAAGAGCTAATATACCGTATGGTAGCCATGTTTCAAGATGATGGAGTAACAGAGCTATGAATGAGTGTGCACCCTCAGAAGCTGAGTCCTTTCCCTTTTGCATTATTCACTGAAGAAAAGCATCTGGTAAATAATTTTAATTTTTTTCTTTCATATTATTTTCAGGTGTCTATTGATGGAAATGAAAGTGTTAGTAGCTCAGGAATGATAGGTGAAAATGAACAAGAGAAAAAAATGCAGGTATGTAATACTGTATAATATAATTGGATCCACTGGATTTTTATTTTCTCTTTCTCTTCTATGCCCAACAGTCTTTACCGTGCAAGTGTTCACCTTCCTCATAACAGCTAGAAGCATGCCAAATCATAGGTGCTGGAACTAGGGGTGCAGGGGGTACTGCAGCACGCCCTAGCTTGAAGTGGTTTCCATTATATACAGGGTTTACAGTTTTGTTCAATGGCTCTCAGCATCCCCACTATACAAATTGTTCCAGCACTCATGTGCCAAATATTTAGCTTTGAGCCAGGTCCTTGGGCTGCCTATCAGGAGTTCTCTGACTCCAAACCTGTGCAGATGGCAGGCTCCATTTCTCCCTTTATAGAAGAATAATTCATGGGATTTAAAAAAACATTTACATTCAATCACCATCACCAGCTGCCACTCCACCAATGTATACAGTTTGGGGAGACAGTGCCCCCTCCAACTCTGCCCATGGCAGGCCACCTAGGACTGTGTCACATCCCAGCTTTGGGCTGTGGCCCACAGTTTGGGAACCCTGATCTATACTGAACTCCTGCACATTGCAGGCCATAGAACCTCTCCCATCCACTCCTGTAACAGACCCATAACCTCTGGCTGAGTTATTGAAGTCCTCAAATCATGATTTAAAGACTTTGTTACAGAGAATCCACCATTTACACTAGTTTAAACCTGCAAGTGACCTGTGCCCCATGCTGCAGAGGAAGGCAGCCCTCCTCCCCCCTCCCCCCCCCGATCTCTGCCAATCTGACCTGGGGGGAAATTCCTTCCTGACCCCAAACATGATGATCAGTTAGACTCTGAGCATGTGGGCAAGACCCACCAGCCAGACACCTGGGAAAGAATTCTCTATAGTAACTCAGAGCCCTTCCCATCGGGTGTCCCATCACCAGCCGCTGGAGATATTTGCTACTAGTGGTTGCAGATCAGCTACATGCTATTGTAGGCAGTCTCATCATACTATAACCTCCATACATTTATCAAGCTCAGTCTTGAAGCCAGTTAGGTTTTTTACCCCTTCTACTCGCCTTGGAAGGCTGATACTTCACTCCTCTAATGGTTAAAAACCTTCATCTAAATTCAAGCCTAAACTTACTGATGGCCAGTTTATATCCCTTGATTCTTGCATCAGCACTGACACTGAACTTAAATAACTCCCTGATATTTATCCCTCTAATGAATTTATAGAGAGCAATCATATCTTAGCCTTCTGTTGGTTAGGCTAAACAAGCCAAACTCTTTGAGTCTCCTCTCATAAGGTAAGTTTTCCATTCCTTGGATCATCCTAGTAGCCCTTCTCTGCACCTGTTCCAGTTTGAATTAATCTTTCTTAAACAAGGGGGAGCAGAATTGCACATGGTATTCCAGATGAGGTCTCACCAGTGCCTTGCATAATGAAACAAACACTTTCCTGTCTCTATTGGAAATACTTTGCCTGATGCATCTTTAGTTCAGATATTTTTAATAAGCAGTGTCCAGTGGTCCACACACATGCAGTTATTCTTCTCTCTCTGAACTGAGGGTATAAGGGAACTGGCATCTCTTCAGTTCCTCGTTACTGCCAGATGGCCTGAGTTGGAACCTTTGTCCAGTTTCTTCTACAATTGTGTTAATCTGTAAATATATTTTAAATAGTTTTAGTATTTAACTCTTTCAGTTTTAAGTACTAGTGTGGTTGGTTAGTTGTTTTTCACTGTCGGAGTTAGGAGTATGTCCAGAGTCCTGGGGTTCAAAAATTACCTTTCTTGTCCCTGCTACTTTTTAGTGAGCAACATACATCAACTCTGCTGTTGCTGCCTAGGTGAGGCTCACATCTCAGTGAAGTACAGGATTTGCTGCTCCTTCCCTCCCAGAGATGATGGTGAAGAGCTAAGACGTAGAAAACATCTGATGGAGAAAGCCATGAGACTCCAATTAGATCTGGGTTGGGGAGACCCCCTGTACATGAGCCTCAGTCAACAGGCAGTCCAGGAGCTCAGGAGTCGAGGCTAAGACTTCCAAGACTAAGAGGAAGGCTTCTCATGAGAGTAAAGGAAACTGTTATAAGCATAGAGACAAACCTTCTTCCAAGGATGCCCCCAAGAAAAGAGATCCTTTTCTGACTCCTTCAAGGTCAGAACAGTCCTCACACATGGGTCCTCTAGATTTTGCCAGAGTAAACCTCCTCAGCAGGAGAAAGTGACCAGAAAGAGTATGGATCCCTCAGTTGCGGCTTTTGTGGCTCACTGGCTTTTGACAGGCAGATCATACAAGGAGGTCCAGTTGCCTACCTAATTCCTCCTCTGTATACTACATTCCCTGGGAATTTTTACCAACCACAAAAAGTCCACTTTGACCACCCACAAGGTCCTAAAACTTCTTAGGAGCAATCTTAGACTCAATGACAGCAAACGTCTAGCTACCTGTTGAAAGATTCCATGCCATGGGCAATCTCATAAAACAGGTCACCCTCGGACTTCAGTTAGACTTGCCTTTTCTGCCTCAGCCACATGGCCTCATGTTCACACCTGATGCCATTTGCCAGGCTCCATCTCCATTATCTGCATACCTTGCTTCAGTCCATCTACTCACCAGAAAAAATCAACATCAGTCCCAATTAACAGTTCCATCCAAGGTTCTAGCCTCTCTTGTCCGGTGGACAAAGCCGGAGAAAGTTCAAGTGGGGACTCCTTTCCTCACACCTACACCTGAGGCGAGTATCATTACAGATACTTCCCTCTTACATGGGGGAGGTCATATGAACAAGCATACTGCACAAGGCAACTGGACCCCTCGGGAGTCCAGGTTGCATATCAGTTTATTGGAATTAACAGTGGTCTGTCGGGTCTGCAACACTTTCCTCCCACTCATCCAGTCATGACATATCCAGATAATGTCAGAGAGTATGTTAACTGTCTTCTATATAAACAAGCAGGGAGGAACAATATCCCTTCCTCTGTGTGTAGAGACAGTCAACCTCTGGAATTGATATATCAGACATCAAGTAACCCTTTCTGTGGCATAGTTACCAGTTGTGCAGAATTCCCTAGCACTGGGATCCTTGCTATTCTAGAATATCTACTTATCCTTAAGGCATCGGGTCTCTCTGTTAGCTCCTTTTGGGGTCATTTAGCGGCAATCAGTGCTTTTCATCTTCCTGTCAACTCATCTCACGACAAATAGATTCCTTAAGGGACTTCTTAGATCCTTCCCACGACTGGTGAAGCCAAGACCTCAATAGGACCTCAACCTCATTCTTTCATCTCTCACCAGACCTCCTCCTGAACCTTTAGCCACATGGACCATGTTATCCATCACTCTAAATTCTACTGTTCAGGACTTCATAGATGCTGGTATGGGACCTCTGTTTCAACAGTTAAGGACAAATTAGTATGCTACAGTTCTGTTTGATCATTAGTAGCAGTGTACAGTCAGCTGAATGATACTCTCCCATTTCATCACCAGAATTTCTTCAGAGAGGAGGCCATAGCAGGGTAGCAGAGTAACCGGTTTCCAATAGCAAACTTGCTTGAGAGGCAAAATGCTGAAAACAATTTATTTTTCACTTTCTGAAGTCCCCTTATTAATTTTAGTTATACTTAGTAGTAGTAAACTTTTGTGAGTGCTCAGCCTGGTAGTTTCTTGGCACCAATATTTTCAGACAGTCTATGGGTGTGGTGTCTAACCTGTGGCCTCCAATGGCAACTATGTTAAGAAGAAAATTGATGCTCCGCCCCAGCCTCAACACAGAGCAACTCGGGGTCTGCTGTAACTTTGCACAGGTTGGCTTTGGTTCCCAAAAAAACATATGGCGGCTGAGGAGAGCCAGGGCGCAGCATACTCCAACCCAGAATGAGACCTGATTTTCAGAAAGTGCTGACTACCCATTCTAAAAATCGGGCCTCTTTGAGGTGTCTCTAGTTGAGACACTCAAAAAATCACTAGTCACTTGACCATGATTTCATTTAGATTCAGGTTGGTGTCTGCATGTTTATTAGAGGAATGATAATTGAAATCCTCAGCTAAACAATAAAAACATGATGCATGAGAGATAATTATTAGTAGATAATCATGGGCATTAGTTGTCCAATGAGGCACCTTTTTGAGCCATTAGATTGGTTATTATATAGCTATTTTTCTGGTGGTTGCAAGTTTAGTACTTAAAATTAGTGAGTTATTGACTGAAAAGATTGGATTAATTTTGATGTCAGGTGTGTTCTGTTACTTATAATCTGTGTTGCACATAGAGAATCTTATTTCATGTGTGTAAAGATAAAATAGCCCATTATCATCAGCATTTTGAAAAAGGAAACTTAAACCCAGCTGTGTATTTCAGTGATACTTTTCCCAAGGACACACTGATTTTAGACTTTAAAGGGACACTGTCAGAATAAAAATAATTTTAAACAAAAATATTCCCTTACATTTGTTAATATTAATACCTTAAATGATTAAAATGAAATAATTTTAACAATATAATTTACTTTTTCCAATTAACCTGATTTGTTTACTTTTTGCATTTTCAGATTGGACACGGAAAACAGATTAGTTAAATTTGCTTTTGTTTATAATGGATTTCAAATCTATTTCATGTTCTAGTTCTTATTCACCAGTGCAGTGCATTGTTCCATTGGGTTGCAAATACTGCCGGGGAATATTTAGATCCAGCATTTTCACTGAAATACTAATAATTTAAAAAATAAACCATATTAGTTAATATTTGGTCATGTAAGCCTTTTTTTTAAAAAAAGTAAATCCTAACTGGACTGACTTGACCTGATATTTAATATCGTATTTAAAAAGGTAAACTGGGAGTTGCTTCTGTTACTGATTAATATTTAAAATAAAAGTTACGAGTGTCTGCAGTTGCATATATATATATATTGTATTGTAATTTAGAGATAGCAGGCACTTTCAGAGTAGAAAGTATGAAGCACAACATCTGAATGCGTTCAGAGAAGCACTTCCTTTAGCAGCCTTCCCATGAATTTGGACAAGTGTTATAGTCTAACAACCCATTCACTTCCACTAGATTATTCACATTCTTTCTGGACTCGCTTTTCATGTTAACTTTCTTTTCGCTGTTTTTTGATTATTCATTTATGCCATTATCATTTATTAGCTGAAAATAAATTAATTTCACAGGCTTCTGTTTTATGTTTCCTCCTTTCACCACAAAATTCTGTTGGCCAAAATTTTGCAGACTGAAGTGCAATGTTACTCTTAACTTTTGAATAATTGTTTCTTATTTATTGAGCCCTGGTAGTATTCTCAGCCCCATATAAACCTAGAAAAAGACAGTTCCTGTCCTGCCCTGAATTGATAATCTAACCAAAACATAGATTGCACAGTCCATATATGCAGGCATAGAGGCGTAAGGTCTAAACTTCAAGCCAGAAATGCTTTTTTTAAAATTGTTTGTTTTTAAGTCTATATTAATTATTTGAGGGGTTATTATATTTAAAAGCCTCACAGAAGAAGTGTGTTTTAAGGAATGATTTGAATAAAGAGAAATAAAGTTGTTTGGTAGACCAGTCTGAGAGGAAATTCCAATTTCAGGAGCTGCATTGAAGAAGGCATGAAGACAAGAACAGGAGAAGGAAATGAATCTTACGGGACATTAGGGAGAGTAGATTGGAAGGAAGGCAAGCTTCAGGAGGAGAATCCGCAAACACAATAACTGGCAGGGTGGACTGAGTCAAAAGACATCAACTAGGATTAACTCATGTTATTTCTTATTTTGAAAATCTGATTTTTGTCTAATTGGTTATAAAAGTCTTAAATGACTTCCATGTTGTCATATTTGTTTTATCCTAGATTGTCTTGCAAGGACATGGAACAAGAGTGACAGCTAAATCTCAGCCAAGTGGAGAGAAGGCTTTTCGCTGTGAATATGATGGCTGTGGAAAATTGTACACAACAGCTCACCATCTTAAGGTAATTGCAGGCTCAGTGGGTTGCAGGCATTCTTTGGTTACACAATTACATGGACAAAAGTAATGGAAACGTACAAGAAGTCAGACACAAGAGCATTCTTTTATCTTACCAAATCTCCATCAGTAGGATGTTCTTGATGCCGCAGTTCCTCCAAACTGTCATGCTTATTGTTCTGAGATGAGGCCCTTTTTAGAAAGTTGAACAGGTAATGGACTTCAGAGTGGTAGCCGTGTTAGTCTTTATCAGCAAAAACAACGAGGAGTCCTTGTGGCACCTTAGAGACTAACAAATTTATTTGGGCATAAGCTTTTGTGGGCTAAAACCCACTTCATCAGTTGCATGGAGTGGAAAATACAGGAGCAGGTATAAATACATGAAAAGATGGGAGTTGCCTTACCAAGTGTGAGGTCAGTCTAATGAGACAATTCAATTAACAGTAGGATACCAAGTCCACGAAAGCTTATGCCCAAATAAATTTGTTAGTCTCTAAGGTGCCACAGGTAATGGACTGTTATCAGTGGGCCAGCAAAATACACCCCACACTTTGGGAAACGCTGCCAGAAAACATGAATTAAACAAATGCATCACAGCTGAGAACTGGAAAGACCAGCAGGAAAAAAGGTTGAATGTAAAGGTTGTCAATCTTCTGATTGTCAAAGCAGAATGAATGCAGTTGTGTAAGGTTCCTATATTGCAAGTATCAAAAAGTATGTCACTTTTTTCATCAAGATAGCCACCATCAGCAGTAGCCTAGAGATGCTACAATTAGAATTTAATTTCCATGTTTATATATGATGGGAAGTTCTGCTCTATCATGTGAATTCCCATATTGCTGTATTGTGATGTTTAATTCTTTAGAGTGATCAAATATTCAAAGTTGAAAAGTTGGAACAGCGCTTGTTTCTGTACTCACTCCCTGGTTCCCTTTCTCAATCCCGTGCTTAGCTCTGGTACATGGAACATGTAGAGAAGTACAGATGCCAACTAGGTTAGTCACTTGCAGATGGGGGAGGGTGCAACCTTGCCAGTGATAGTGCAGTCTAGAATCAGTCTCTCGCTCCATGTGAATCTAATCCTGTGATGGAGTACTGGCTAGATGTCTCATGCAGCAGGGAGAGGATCACTGGGAGGCCTCATAGGTATTGAGGGAAGATTAGAAAGTTGGCAACCCTACACTCCAATCGCATAAAACCAAACACCCTTGCCCCATCCCCTGCCCTGAAGCTCTGACCCTACCCCTTCCCCTAGGCCCCACCCCCTGCTCACTCCATCTTCCCTTCCTCCATCGCTCGCTCTCCTGCACCCTCACTCACTTTCACCGGGCTGGGGCCTGAGATTGGGGTACGGGAGGGGATGTGGGCTCTGGGGTGGGGCCAGATATGAGGGTTTCAGGGTGCAGGAGGGGGCTCAGGGCTGGGATAGGGGGTGCAGGAGAGGCTGCGGGCTCCGCCTCGGGCTGTGGGCTCGGGGGTGGGGCTGGGGATGAGGGGTTTGGGGTACAGGAGGGGGCTCAGGGCTGGGGTAGGGGGTTGGGGTGCGGGCTCTGGGAGGGAGTTCGGGTGTGAGAGGGGGCTCAGGAGGTTGGGGTGCAGGAGGGGGTGTGGGGTGTGGGCTCTGGGAGGGAATTTGCGGGAGTAGGTTCTGACCTGGGGCAGGGGGTTGGGGTGCAGGTGGGTGTGAGGCTCTAGCCAGGTGGCGTGGCCAATGGGAGCTGCAGAGCCGGTGCTTGGGGCGGGGGCAGCGCACAGAGCCCCTGTGGCTGACCCTGCGCCTAGGAGCCAGACATGTCAGCTGCTTCCGGGAGACACGCGGAGTCAGGGCATGCAGGGAGCCTGCCTTAGTCCCACTGTGCCGCTGAACGGACTTTTAATGGCCTGGTCAGTGGTGCTGACCGGAGCCACCAGGGTCCCTTTTCAACCAGGCATTCCAGTCGAAAAGCGGATGCCTAGCAACCCTATCGGGGTAGAGTGTAGCCCTTGAGACACACATGCACACAGCCAGACTACTGTCAATATTGCCAATTCAGCTGTTTAGTGACCCCTTTAGTTGGCTATTCTGCATGTTTGCAAAAATAGGACAAATCACCTGTTTCAATAAAAGTGATCAGGGCATCAAGTCACATCCTGAAAACAGAGACATTACTACTTTTCCAGAACACATCATTATCCTATTTTTAAAAAACCTTTATTACTGTTTAAAAAAAGAACACTTCTTAAGCAGTGACTTCTAAGAAGAGAGACTAAACATATAATTTTTGACAATGAAGTAGTTTTTATATTCAAGAAATCAAACAAAATACTGTATTATATCAATGTGGTGGATGTCTTTTAACAGGTGCATGAAAGGTCACACACAGGAGATCGACCATATCAGTGTGAACATCCTGGTTGTGGCAAAGCATTTGCAACAGGTAATGTTTTGTGGGAGTGTGTTCTCCTGTTTGCTAGGACCTGTCTGTCTCCTTATAAGACGTGTTTTTGTTAATGCAATTTTTAAACTGCTATGCAAAAAGGCTAGATTTCAATCTATTTATGAGAAGTGGGCATATTTTCAGCTAAAATAGATTAGTAAAGATGGAATGAGGCTTATGGAAAAGAGTATTTTGAGCGTTATTGAAGCAGAAATGTAATGAAACAAAGAGATAAAGAAGAAAATGTGTAATCTAGCATCCTATTATCAATTTCTACACTATAGACAGAAAAATCTATTAATGTGGAATAAGTTCCATGAGTTAAATGAGGTGAAAATAAAAAGGCTCAACTTGCTGGCTGCAGACAAGGATATCTGAGCCTCTGATCCCCAGCTGAAAAGAATTTTGATAGGAGATACTCTGTTTCAAGCGGTGTGATTGATCTGGTTCTTTTTCACAGTCACATCAAGCAGTGACATTTCTCATAAAGTAAGTGAACTTTACAGCTCATACAGACTAGTCCATTTATGCATGACATTTCATTTGATCCTGTAAAATGAAGTGATAAGATGAGTAAGTAAAATATGGAGGATAGTAAAACAAGCAGTTGCTGTTTCAAAACAATCTTTTCTTGGTTTTTGAACATGATTTTAATACATAGAAACAAAGAGATGGGGTTTAAAAAAACCCTGAAACTTGAAAGATTAAGAAGATTGCATGAAGAACTCCTTCCATTGTAATATAGAAAGCCTGTAGGCATACTAATATAAGCAATACTCGGCTGAAAGGCCAACACAGAAACAACTGCACTTCAGTGACTTCACATAAATTTAGTTGCACCGTGTTTGTAAAGCAATTTTAAAATTATAGTACAAGGGTGGCCAAATTTACTGACCCTCTGAGCCGCAAATGATAATCTTCAGAAGTTTGAGAGCTGGGGCGCACGTGCCAGAACTTGGAGCTTCAGCCCCGTGAGAAGCATCTGTTGGGGCTCAGGGCTTTAGCTTTGCGGGGAAGGGGGTTTCAGGCCTTCAGCCCCATGGGAGGTGCCTCCCATTCCTTGGGGCTGAAGTCCTGCTCCTGCTGCAGCCCTGGCAGGTGTTCCCCGTGGGGCTGAAGCCCTGAGATCACCCTCCCTGCTGGGCAGAAGTCAGAGGTGATGCATGGGGAGGGCCTGTGGGGTCACGTTCCCCCCCATTTCCCTGCCCAATTTTTGCTAGGGTTTGCTGACCCCACTCAGTCTCATAGTGTCGCCGGGCCTCCTCCCTGCATGGCAGCTGCTGGAGCTGGCAAACTGAGAGCTGTGACCATGGGGAGAAGCAGCAGCAAATAGCTAGGAACTACAGGGAGTTCCGCTGCTTTTGCTGCTGCCTGTCCCTGCAGCTCCCAGCTGTTTGCAGCTGCCTCTCCATGCGAAGCTAACACCTGGGAGCTGCAGGGAGGGGCTGCTGAGGGTAAGAGGGGGGGATGTACCTGGGGGTTGTGACTCAAGTGTTTGGGGAGGCTGAACCTTTACATTTTGTCCCCCCACTCTCAGCAGCCACCTGTCATCTCTGGCAGAAGCCCCTCACCCCACTGCAGGGCAGAAGCCCTGAACTCTCCCTGCCAGTCTGGTAGGTGGAGAATGTGGGGGGCTCTGCGAGCCACACTTTAACTATGCAAGAGCCGCATGTGGCTTGCGAGCCGCAGTTTGGCCATCCCTGCTGTATACCATTGCAACAGACAGAAGGACAAATATATTACCTTTTTTCCTATTAATGTCTAAGTGTATTTTAGGTCAGTTATTGTACCAGTTGAGCCTGGCAAACCCTGCAGATGTTTAAATGCATCTTCAAGGATTAAATGACCTGGATTAAATAGTAGTAGCTTTTCTGAGTTGGATTCTGAGGCTGTATTTGTGTTGTAGAAGTAAGAAAGAACACAAGTTAGGGGATTGGCTAACTTGGTAGACTCACTTCATGTTTTCAAATAGTGTTTTTTAATCAAAACTTCAAGTGTTATGGAGATATAACGGCAGCACATTGTAAAGTTAAATCAGGAACCACATTCTGAGAATCCATGGCCTTTGCTTAGTAGAAATGTGTATATCACTATGGGGCCAGGGAAGATGCATGTTAGTCTGTCTTCAGCAACTCTTTCTGGGTTCTTTGGTTCCACATTTTTCTAGGGGACTAGAGATAGGATGCTCTCAGTGGAGGGTCCTCTGCTCAGAAACTAGCCCCCACCTTGTCACTTCACCAAAACCCCCATTTTGTTGTCCCTTCAGGGCACAGTGCAAGGCAGTCTATTTAGGGCCTAATCCAAAGACCATTGAAGTGAATGGGAGTCTTCCCATTGAGTTCAGTGGCCTCTGGATTAGGCCCTTAAATTTCTCAGTATTGTTATTTATCACACGATTATTGCTCTTGATATTTGTTTTAGAAGGGGAGATTGTCTGTGGTTATTGCATAATGTGTTTCTAAAAAATGAAATAGCACCCGGAGGCTTGACTGATGGGTGCAATTTTATAGCTCAGAATAGTCGTTTGTAAAATAAGAAGCCAATAAATAAATAGGAGCCACATGCCAGCTGTGTCTGAATTCAGTGGGAGCAGGATTGGTCTCTGTCTGAAACTATTATGATGGGAGTAGCTGCTAAGAGAGAGAAAGCACAGATTGTTCTGGACCTTTTTTTTTTTTTTTTTTTTTTTTTTTTTTTTTACAGAAGTTTGAGCAAAGGTTTGACCACTTTGGTATAATCACCAGAATTTGTCTCATTGTGAGGAAAAGGAGAAAATTTTGAAAAAAGTACACTTTTTCTTAAATAAAGTGAAAGAGGATTTCTAAAATGCAAGCAGTGCTTTGTTGATCTGGTTATGTGACCAATGATGTGTTTGGAGAGTGAGATGAATAGAAGAACTGATTTTTGTTACTGATTGATCAGAGGATTTCATAACTGGACTGGTTAGCACAGCTTTTGTGACCAGATACATTCTGAGTATTAGATATATTTCTATTGCAGTATTGTAACAACTAAGATTTTGTTTGCCTTCTCGCCCCCTCCCCCACCTTTCGACTTTGAAAATTGTCTTCAAGGTTATGGATTAAAAAGCCACGTCCGAACCCATACTGGAGAGAAGCCCTATCGGTGTACGGAGGAGAACTGCACCAAGTCATTCAAGACTTCTGGGGACCTGCAGAAACATATCAGAACCCACACAGGTACAAGGAGTCTTTACAACGGTCGCTCTCTCTCTCTCTCTCTCTCTCTCTCTCTCTGCTTTCTTAGTTCTTTGTTTTAAATTAAAATCTATTTAGATAGACACACTATAGAAGGAATTTAACCCTTTGCTTGTTGAGTGACTTGTACTTGTGAAATCAGAATAAGTATACTCTGCCTTAGCCCACAACTGCTCTCAAAAGTCCCCTTCGAAGCCTACTTGACAAAACAGTGTTTTAGCATTGCAAACACCGTTGCAAGTCCTTAGCACAATAATAATGCTCCTCATCTCAACATACAATTTTTTTTGGAACAGTGCATAGGCCTTCACACTGCTATTGCAGTTGCACTATCTTTGAACAAGGTGCATCACCATTGCATCTTACACTGACTGAGTCAGTCTGCACCTTTGCAGTGCCACTGTGGATAAAAAGTACTAGAATTGCAGCTGCAGCAGACCAATTACTCCTCCGAGTGCCAACTCTAAGTGCTGCTACCCATCCTCCAGTGACAGTTTTGTCATTTCAGAGCTAGCTGTCAAATATCTTGCCTACCAGCTGTGTGCAGGACCAAGAACTGTGGTACTCAGCTTGTCTTGGCTCTTCCTGTTTCCCCAACACCCTCAGAGCAGCAGGGAAGGACACAAAAAGATCATGCAAAAAAACAAAAAAAACAGTTTTATTAAAACTTTTCAGTTGTGTAAAAAATAAAATCTTTTGGTGTGTCCCATACAGAGGTGGATCACTTGAAAAATAAAAAGAACAAAAATCCCTTATTAGCAGCAGCTATATGCATGGAAGCACTATATGCACACACCATCCACTTACTATAATAGTTGTTGTATTGACAGTCTGTACATCTATGGAATGTCACCTTCACTCCTGAGATCTGAAAAAGGGACGTAAATTTAAAAATACACAGCCAGGATTACCACCTAACCCCTACTCAATCTCTAATGCCACTAAATACCTCAGGATAGTGCTCCAGCACCTCCTTGTTCTTCCTCCCCCAACCAAATACCCTTGAAGAGAGAGAGAAGGGTGGGCCCCCAGTTTATTAGATGGGGTGGAATAGCAGGGAGCTTGTTGGACCACATGGAGGACGTTCTTCCTCCAGACCCTGGCCTTGACCTCTCACATCTTTGGATTTTAGAGGTTAAAAAAAGAGAGAGGGAAGGAAACCCTTAGTTGTACTTCAGATCCAGAAAAGAGAATCAAAACCACGGGCAAACAACAATTGAATAAATTGTTCAATAAAAACTATTGAAAGAATAAAATCATTCCATCTTCCTGAGCTTCCAGATCCAAAGTCAATCTGCCAGTGGGCCAGGGGACACTTGTGATTCTTCACAATGATATCTGTGTGAGGGCATACCAATGTTCATCACCTTCTCCTCCCAGCTCATATGCAGATCTTTGTTGAGAACTGAATCATATTAATGCAGTCATTACACAGTGCAGACAAATACACATTTAGATATCATAGATTAGGGCTCTCTAAATTTTTCATAGGATGGACCTCATCTTAATGGAAAAATTGTCCAGTGGACTGCCCCTCCTCTCATTTTTGCAATCACATATATTTGACAATTACAGCATTTGCTTACATAGAAAAGTCCTATTAGTAAAGAATGTTATGTATTTTAATGCAATTTAGCATCTGCAACTAAGGAGTTGAGCCAGCACCATGTAACCAACCAGCTCTTCACAGACCACCAGCAAGTCTTTCACAGTCCATCGATGGTCCATGGACCATAGTTTGGGAACTTCTGCCACAGACATTGGATGCTTTGCCAGGAATTATGAATATATGCAACAGTACACAGGCTCAGCAGTAGTTGCAGTGAGTTCTGTTTGTGGATAAACAGAGTGATGCACGCAAAACAGGATGACTAATGTGGATGCACTGAACCAGTGCAAGTTGCACAGTGCAGTTCTCTTCTGTAGACAATGCCAGAGTCCCTCAACCCTGATTGGCATTACGAACTAAAGCTGATATTGATCAATGCAAGATCTGCTGGTAACAACAAAAAACACATGCCTTCATCAGTGATGAGGCACCTAACATAGTCTGCATCACCAAAACCGGGAAGGATGACTCCACAAGCCCTGGGTTGGTGCACTTCATTCCCCCAGGTTTCTCCATATATCACAGACCTAGATAGCACAAGAAGGCAGGTAGTACCTCATTCATCTTTTCTGCAAACCTGAAATGCAAGAGATGTGCCTCAGGTAAGACCACTTCATTTGAACTTATTCATCTCACAGTAGAAACCAGAGCCAAAGCTAACATAGATTTTATGCTCACTTACAGACCACCGCAGACTAAAGGGCTCACAAGAGAGTTCACTGATACTTTGCCAGAGATGATGGAGAGATACTCCAGACTTGTCATCCTGGGAGATTTCAACAAGGCCACTGATACCAAAGCCCAGAAACTCATCTCCTCACTTCCCTCCCGAAGGTGATCACAGGTCATTTCTGGTTCCATCCACAAATCCAGTCACATCCTGGACCTGACCTTCAGGCTTTATGTCAGGATAGAGAACATCACAACCTAGCCACTATTTTGGACAGAACCATTGCCCACACAACAAGAAAGACTAGTGACCCTGATTCAACCATGAAGACTCCTGGACTCCAACAAATTCCATAGCCTTCTAAAGGACAACAGTACCCCACCTGCAGAATGAGCAGTTGAGTACCTGGTGAGTCATTGCCATTGCCAGTGGTCTCAGCCACTGCTGTGCTGGCCCTCCGTTGATCCCCTTCTCCCCATCACCCATACAGATCTTGGTTTTCTGACACACTCTGTTCTGGATGACGGGAGAAGGGGTGGAAACTTGAGTGCCGATAGTGGAAAACAAAGGCTGATTCAGATAGCATGAAAAAAAAATTCCTCAAAGCCTATGCTGTGGCTGTTACAGGCCAAGACCTCTGTTGAAGCTGCTAAATCTCACCCCAAAGAGCTATCCATTGTGGTAAACCTCTTCATCAGTCCTGAATGCCAACCTGCAACAGAGCCAAGCACCAAACACTGCAAAGAATGCCACTTTGCTGAAAAGATCATGGACGTTTTGAGAAGCCATCTCAAACAGCATGGATCTGCTCCGCCTCCACTCACAAACCAACATCCCACCTGCATTTCCAGAGTTCAGTACATTCACTGAAGAAGTTTTGTATACCCTAAAGGAGACTCGACGCAAGACTTGTGACTCCGACTCATGCCCTTTTTGCTTGTGAAAGAGAGTTGTGAACAACTGGTGCCACTCCTGACTGAAATAGCCAATGCCTCATTTAGAGAAGGAATCTTGCTCCTTCAAACACCCAGTAGTTTGACTAACACCTGAAAAAACCCACCCTGGATACTTAAGTCCTAGTCAGTTACCATCCTGCATCAAACCTCCCATTCTTAAGCAAGTTCAGAGAAGAGCTAGCAAAAGGCTGACCATGCTCATCTAACTGACCCTAACATTCTGACCCAGCACAGTCTGTATTCAGGGCAGGACACAGAACCAAAACTGCTTTATCGGCACTGATGGATGATCTCCTCCTTTCAATGGATAGGCATCCATTCTCATCCTGCTGGACCTCTCTGCAGTATTTGACACTGTTAACCATGAGATTCTGCTGTTTCGCCTGAGAGGGGTGACATGAGTCCAGGATAAGGCACTAAAATGGCTTGAGTCCTCCCTGGAAGGATGTTCCCAGTGAGTAGTGATGGGAAACTACAGCTCTGTCACTAGACCCTCACTTGTGGAGTTCCTTCCACAAGGATCAATTTACTCTCTGGTACTTTTCAACATCTACATGCAACTAGTAGGTGAACTAGTTAGATGACGTAGACTCAAGTGCCAACAATATGCAGATGATACACATTTCTACCTATCCTTTACCACATACAACCACACTACTTCTACTAAGATGGCCCAGTGGTTGGATGAGATCAGTTCTTGGATGAAGAACAGTTGGCTGAAGCTGGACCTGAGCAAGACAGAGGTGATGCCAGTGGGCAGAGGGGAGTATTTTGAAGAGCTAATAACCATGGTGTAGTCTTCATGGGTTGAAGATGCACATCCACAATTGGTCAGTTTAGTCTGTAGTGTAGGAGTACTCTTTGATCCCTCACTGGTGCTGAATTCTGACATAGCAGCATCCAAGAATAATGCTTTCTACCATCTCCGTCTGGCTAGGAAACTTCATCCCTTCCTGGCCAACTAAGACCTAGCCTCAGTTATTCATGCTTTCCCCTCTCGTCTGGAGTACAGCAATGCAATATATCTGGGCATGATCCCTTCAGCACTTAGAAAACTCCAGTTAGTACCGAATGCTATAGCGCATCTCCTCAAAATCACAGGCTACCTGGAACATTTCAAACCTCTCCTTGACTCTCTATATTGGCTTCACATAAAATCTTGAATCAAGTTCAAGGTCTTCAAAGCATTCCATGTCCTGGGTCCAGATTACCCAAAAGATCTCCTAAAGCTCTGGGATGAAGACCATGATGGACAACTCTGCTCCTCTGGCCCAGTGGAACTCTCAACAGTAAAAGTAAAGCTCGTCTGTGCGTGAGACCGAATTTTCTCCCGGGGTGATCCAAGACTGGAATGAATTCCCCCAGAAACTAAGGACGATCACAAATCTCACCAATCCACTCCAAGTCCAAGGCACATTTCTTTGACTTTGCCTTCTCTAATATAAACACGTAGCACCAGGTATATTTTTATTAAAAATAAAGCCACACATTATCTAGGGTTACCATTCGTCCGGATTCCCCCGGACATGTCCGGATTTTTGAGCTAAAAATAGCGTCCGGGGGGAATTTGTAAATGTCCGGACTTCCCCCCGGACGCTAACAGGGCAGCCGCCCGGATGCTGAAACTTACATGGGGCTCCGACAGCCAGAGACAGCCCCTCCTCCGCTCCCCTGCAGCAGAGATCAACTCCCTCCCTCCCTGCATTCCAGATCGCCTCCGGCAGTCTGGAGCTCCTCCCCCGCCAGC